CCTGGGCACAGGGTCAGTGTGTCCACTTGGGCATTGGGTCAGTGTGTCCACCTGGGCACAGAGTCAGTGTGTGCCCCTGGGCACAAGGTCAGTGTGTCCACTTTGGCATTGGGTCAGTGTGTCCATCTGGGCACGGGGTCAGTGTGTGCCGCTGGGCACAGGGTCAGTGTGTCCACCTGGGCATAGGGTCAATGTGTCCATTTGGTCATGGACAGGTCAGTGTGTCCACCTGGGCACGGGGTCAGTGTGTCCACCTGGTTTCTGGGTCAGTGTGACCACCTGGGCATAAGGTCAGTGTGTGCCCCTGGGCATAAGGTCAGTGGGTGCTCCTCATCATGGACAGGTCAGTGTGTCCAGCTGGGCATGGGGTCAGTGTGAGCCCCTGGGCACGGGGTCAGTGTGTGTCTCTGGGCACGGGGTCAGTGTGTCCACATGGCCATGGGGTCAGTGTGTCCATTTGGTCATGGACAGGTCAGTGTGTCCACCTGGGCACTGGGTCACTGTCCACCCGGGCACAGGGTCAGTGTCCACCTGGGCATGGGGTCGGTGTGTCCACCTGGGCATGGGGTCAGTGTGTCCACCTGGTTTCTGGGTCAGTGTGTCCAGCTGGGCACAGGGAGGTCAGTGTGTCCACCTGGGCATGGACAGGTCAGTGTGTGCCCCCGGGCACAAGGTCAGTGTGTGCCCCTGGGCACAAGGTCAGTGTGTCCACCTGGGCACGGACAGGTCAGTGTGTCCAGCTGGGCACAGGGTCAGTGGGTGCTCCTCATCATGGACAGGTCAGTGTGTCCACTTGGGCACGGGGTCAGTGTGTGCCCCTGGGCACGGGCAGGTCAGTGTGTCCACTTGGGCATAAGGTCAGTGTGTGCCCCTGGGTATGGGGTCAGTGTGTGCCCCCGGGCATAAGGTCAGTGGGTGCTCCTCATCATGGACAGGTCAGTGTGCCTCTGGGCACGGGGTCAGTGTGTCCACCTGGGCACTGGGTCAGTGTCCCCCTGGTCATGGACAGGTCAGTGTGTCCACCTGGGCACAGACAGGTCAGTGTGTCCACCTGGTCACGGGGTCAGTGTGTGTCCACCAGGGCACAGGGTCAGTGTGTCCACTTGGGCAAAGGGCCAGTGTGAGCCCCTGGGCACGGGGTCAGTGTGTCCACCTGTGCATAAGGTCAGTGTGAGCCCCTGGTCACAGACAGGTCAGTGTGTCCACCTGGCACAGGTTCAGTGTGTCCACCTAGCACAGGGTCAGTGTGAGCCCCCGGGCACGGGGTCAGTGTGTCCACCTGGGCACGGGGTCAGGGTGTCCACCTGGGAATAGGGTCAGTGTGTGCCCCCAGGACACACCAAGGACTGGGATTAGGACCATAATTGGATTAAAACCGATGAGATTCGCCTAAAGTGGATTTTAATCAAATTTTAGCCGGAGGTTGGTGTTAATTGAATTAATTGTCTGCCTAAATCGATGGAAAAGGAATTTCCACTCGAGATAAGAGTCTCCTGGAATTCCTTTCATTCCCATGAATATCCAGGATGGATAAATTCCCTGGAATTCTTTCCCTGTTCGCATGAATATCCAACACAGAAAAATCCCCCTGAAATTCTTTCCCTGTTCCATGAATATCCATCACGGATAAATCTCCCTGGAATTCCCTCCCTCTCCCATGAATATCCGTCATGGATAAATCCTCCTGGAATTCTTTCCCTGTTCCCATGAATATCCAGCACGGATAAATCACCTGGAATTCTTTCCCTGTTCCCATGAATATCCAGCACGGATAAATCTCCCTGGAATTCCCTGTCCCATGAATATCTATCACGGGTAAATCCTCTGCAATTCCCTCCCCTGTTCCCCATCTCCTTGTCGGGTGAATCCCAAGGGGAGACGAGAAGCTCCGATGTTTTGGAGCCTCTCCCAGGTTTTTTTTCCCAAATCTCTCCGGGATCCGGGATCCTCCCGCTCATCCACGGGGCTCTGCTGACATCTCCTGGCGGGAATTCCCTTGAAGAGCTGGGTTTAACTCGGGGTGATTCCAGCGGGACCCGCAGCGGCATTCCAG